GTTCCGCCTGCTGAGGGGCAGGGCCAGCGCCGGCCCGCACCCAGGGAGGAGGGAAAGGGTTTCTGCCAAACGGGGCTGCTCTCTGCTTTAAGCAGCTGGGCCAGCTACAGATCTGTTTCCCCACGCGTGGAAATGTGATAAAATAACGAGGGAAATAATACAGTGAAAAATAAAGCAAGATAAAGCAGCAAAATAATAAGCGAACTACTCTAGCAAGCATAAAATAAGGTAATACACCTCATCACTGCTACATAGAGTTCGCAATAGTGATTAAGATCCATCACCAATTGCCCTATTAATACGTTACCATCATCCAGATCCGCAGTCGCTGGGGAGCCCGGGTGCAGCGAGGATTTGGAGAACCCTTCCCGGCAACTGGGAAATCTCTGTACAGTGCGTCCACCGTATAGATGAGGCTGCCAAATTTCCCTGCAAACGTTCCCTGCTTTTATACAATTGAATAAACAACTTTGTATCTTAAACTGTGAAAAACATCTGATGTGGTTTTCTCCTCGTTAACTTCCATCTCGAGCCTGGCCGGGGCCAGAGAGAGAAGATAGCAAGAACAAAAGAATCTACTAATCTTGATTATTATGTATCTCTCAACAAAGCTTGTCACAGCCCTGCCACATTCCTTTACCTAGAGGTCTGTCTGTGGGTTGCAAGGGGCATATCTGTTTTTAACAAGCCTGGCTACTGTTACACAACTAGCATCTTACAGCAATGCTCTAGAAGCGTTTATAAGCTGGCATATGCTCATATGGTAATACACTGCATATGTGATGGATATTAGACATATCAGATATATTGCTAGGTTGTGAGGTTCATCTAGCGGTCAGCTTTGGTTCGGGAGCTCACTGCTCAAGCCCTGCTATTCCACAGACACATGACACAACTCGTTCCCTGTTCTTCCCATTCCAACAAGGGAATGAAAACTTGCCCCAGCTCTCACACTGCATCAATAACAAAAATACCCTTCAGAGTCAAATCAAAGCCACAGCAATTTAGGTTAAAAAGCAATTCCCTGCTGCAGTTTGGAAAATAAAAGACCATCAGAGTGGGAACCCAAGCAATAGGCTGCCAGCACCACACACGGGGCAGCGGGGCCAAGTGACCACGGGCTCCAACAACCGCCTTGCCGGAGCCCCGCACTGGATATGCATGCTTTCGCCTCAGACATCTCCTTCCAAACACCTTCAACAGTTACAAAATTCTTATTTGGAAATAATTACTTCTTATCAATAGCTTAATTAATAGTTCTAATGAACAGTTTGTGTTCCAGTGATTTTAAAATATGAGCACTGTAAAACAGGTAACAGCCAGGAAAAGAGATTAATAAAAGCTTTGGTTTTGCCATGTGAAAGCACAGTAATTTTCACTGCATTATTATATACGATAAAGGACAATCAGGCATTTCACAGTACAGGCAAACATTTTAAGGAAAAAAACACCACACTAAAGACTCAGAGGAAATTCCATTTTATTTGTTTTACAAAGTCAAAACCATACAGATTTAGTCCAATGCTTCCACATCAGATCCAGAGCAAACCAAGTAATGTGCTCTTACAGAACTAATACCACTGACTTCACCATCCCTGCTCCAAAGAATTAAGAAAACTATGGGATAGGAACTGCGTCTCAGATTTGATCAGCACCATTGCATCGGTATTCAGGTTTTTTCAATGTACAGAAATGTTAGCCCCAAATCATGCCTCAGTAAAAACACATTCCACTTCAAAATCAGAGCTTGAAATTATTCTTTCAAGGACAGAAAACAACCTCTGCTCCTCAACCCTAGGAAGTCATAGAAGTCACCACAGAAAACAATGGTAGCTGCTTGCAATTTGCCTTGTACATTTCAGCACATTTTTATAAAAAGGAATGTTACAGCCCAAAATCTTTATTTAAAGAGTAGGTAAATACAGACAACAGCAGTGCAGACTTCTCATATACGCTAATCCCTGTCACCTGGAGTTGAGTCATTTCAGCCTCCCTGGAGCACTCCGTTTTGGAATAGAACTATGAAAAAAAATCAGTTAAACACAGTTAAACGAAAAATGTTCTGCATTTAAAGAAGTTTATTGGTTCTCATTTTTAAAGCTGTCTCGGATATTCAGGATTCATTCACATTTCAAAAGGCCTCACCAAAAAGACAGGCTGAGACATGCCTCCAAAAAAATTAAACCAACATTGCTAACAAGGAGAGTAACTCATTTCAAGCTCTGCATTTAAAGTGCCCATAATATTTTACATAGCAACCAGCAAGTAACACATAACTTGTGACATTTATTTACATTGTGTTATCACCACCTAGTACAAAGAGCCGGCACCAAACTTTAAAAAATGTTATTACAAATCGTAAAAGATTACATATTACTGAAAAGTTAGAACCAAGGACTCAAGAACCGGGAATTTCAAGACTTTTGCAATGTTATTTTATGTATTTATTTATAGATGAGCAGTTACACCCATTTTGGTTTTTGGCCCATTTCCCTCAAGTTCATAACCAGAAATCCCACTGGCGTGTAAGCAGGGGAGCGCTCACAAGCTGCCTGACAATGCAGAATCCTTCCAAGCACCCAGAACCTGAGCTGGGAAAAAGTTCTACTGTCAATAGCACTAGGTTGCCTTTTGAAGTAAACATGCTCTCCCTTCCCACTCATCCCCACCTGCCCAGGAATAGGTGAAAAATACTATTTTTCTGCCCCTTCACCCACCCGCACAATACATAGATGTGATGGACAGTAGAGAACCAAGCTGGTCCCCAACAGCGCAGCGTCTGATCGAGCCTGTGTATTTTGTAAAGCACAGTGCAATTGTAGTCCGAAGCACCTCCCCCTTAATAATAACCTTAAACAAATAAAGCCTAAATTTAAATCAATATTAGAAGTCAACAGCCTTGTTTCACCTGTATCCTCACGACAGAGACTGTTCTGCTTGTTAGAAAGCACACCTACAATCAAAGATGTTTAAAACGTTGGTGCTGCAGCGTGGGTATGGAACCTGCAGGAGTCCCAGGCTTCCGACATCAAGTTGCCTCCAACTTACTTCTCCTTCATTTTTTTCAGGTAACGAGCTCGTATTTGTTTGTTTGTTTTCATGAGAAAATTAATGACAGTAGATGTAGGTAGAAGAGAGGAGATCCAGCCCTAATAAAAAAGAAAAAAAATATCAAGGGGAACAAGGTCTCAGCTTTTAACAGCCTGTACTACGCAAAATTTCAGTTACCAGCACACGAGTATTACAAAGTTATAATTACAAAAATATTTAATATTCAAAATTATTCTTTACTCTTCTTCCATGATAAACACATACACGGGATGTTCCAGATCCTCACATTTTCCAAGGTGACTCACCATGAGCGCATGGGGCAGGCAGCCGTTGGTCTGGGTCTGCAGCCCGACCGTTCCCAGGGCAGCTCTGACGTACGTCTCAGGACTGGGCTTATCGAAGGTCGGCTTCCGGATTTTGGACATTTTTGTTGCCACATAATATGGTAGAACACTCTGGATGTAGGAAAGATCATGTTAAGCAGAGAATGCTTCCAGATTAACTTACAGATCCATCAAGGAACTAAAATCACTTTCAATTCTAAGATCACAACGTACAATACCAAAACCACTTGTAATCAGGTATCTTGCGGGCCAGATTTGGAATGTGAAGGATAGTTCAGTGGTGTGTTCCCCCATCCCCAGGTGGAGCCCTAGAAACACTCCAATTGCCAATGTATGGTTGAAAAGCCTTCCTTACAATTTGCCTTGTAAGTGCGAAACTTCTTTCCAGCTGTTTAACAGACAATGCTGTGGTGTTGCTTCTCCGTAGTGATCCCCCAATGTTGTCTTAGGAAGGAGGCACAGAACCCAAGACAGGGGTTTTCTACTTGAGTAGCAGCTTCTCAGTTTGGCAACTGTACAGAGAGAAACACGAAGGCAGGAAGGAGGAGGAGGAAAGGGAACACCAGGAGACTGGGAACATTGAGCTTTTAACTCCACGGGAAGCTTGGAGGAAGATGATGATATTGGTACCAGAGTGGAAGACCTCAAGGACAGAAGAAAGGATCAAGAAATGGAGAACGGTTAAGGGCTTCTACAGCAATGTCTGGAAGAAACAGAAAAAGCAACAGCGCATCTCAGGACTACCCAGCTCCGTCCCAGTGGAAAAACGAGAGGAAGCAGCATGGGTGTGTTGGTGACAGATGGACACTGGCACCACAAAGGCATGCCAGCGGGGTGGCAAGATAAACCAAGGGGATCCAAAACCACACTCCACCTATCCCCAGCTCACGCTGCTGGAGAAGGAAAGGGAAATGCTTCCTTGCACACGCAGAAGCAACCCTCTTTCCTCAGTTATGGTTTTGGCATTCCTTTCAACTTGTCCCCAATCTAGGTCTCTAAAAAGGTAACCCAAAAAGCCCTGGTCTATAGCCACTTCATCAGATATTAAACATGGCAGATCTCACAAGCTGAGAAAGACTGGAACCTTAGCAACTCCTTTGCCATGCTAGTGATTCAATCCATACGGTCGCTCCTGCCCATCACAGCAGCGAGCGCTACCATTCATGGACCTATACAACAGACACCTGAGGAGCGGGCGTCCCCTTCTGCTACACTAACAGATCTCAAAGTGAGAACACCATCTCCAAACTTGGGATATTTGGGCAAGTTACAGTTCGGAAACCTGCTTCCCCATGTTTGACCACACATGTTTGAGCTCAGGAACGTTAGCTTGACTATCAGACTCTCAGAAGCATCGCACGGGGCGGTAAAGGACCACTCGGACCCTCATTGACCATTTCTCCGTGCCACAGCTGTGCACATTGCAACAGGAACGTGACCACCACAAACAGGACACATTGGTGTGGCTGCTCATTCCTTCACTGTAGGACATTAAAACCGGGCACTTCTCTCTATAAGACTTTCAAAAATCTACTGCACAAGTTCCAGTTTCCAATGGAGAGGAAAAACATTGAGATCTGAATGCCAGAAGTGTAAGCAGTTGCCTTAGCCTTTAAAAGTTGCCAAAAGCTACAAATGCTTGGATACAAAAAATACTCGTTCTGTTGCCATAACAGCATGGGTACCTAATTTCAGCTCCAGGATGTGAACCTCATCCATTTTTCAGATTACACTTCTAAACTGAATCTTATGTCTTAAACAAAGAAAACTATTCTAAGCTTTTTATTCACCTCCAGATTATATCTGCAACATCCCCCTACCCAGGGGCATGATGGTTATAGTTAACATCTATTTTCTGTCTTCCTCTGATGAAAACAGTTTGTAAGTGACCTGCACTACCCAGATAAGCCACTGGATAGCATGAAGGGGCAAACAATTGTGCATGAGGATACCTGAAAAAGAAAGCATACAGTAGCACTACCGGTTAGCTATTGATCCACAGACTTCAAGGCAATAGAAGCACAGGATTGCACTCCATTTTCTTTCCTCTCCTAAATGCTCTCCAGAAAACAAAGAGACAAGTATTTAATTTCAGAGATATTAGGTTTACCATCTTCCTACTAACTGTGTCATATTTTAACAGCTATGAAGAGACCTGTTGAATGAATTGTCAGTTTTCCCTCCTTCTTCCTCCCCACAAGGATCTCAGACATTCACAAACCATACTTAAAAACTAGCATGACATTTAAAAAAAAAATTCACTGCCTAAAGCCCTCTAGCGTTTTGTATTCAGGCAGATATAACCCACACTACTTGGGCAAGGATCTGTATAGAAAATTCCTTGTCTCTGTCCAGAGAAAGCCTCGCCTGCTCTCCAGTTTCAAAACTTGGAAAAAAAACCCAACAAAATTTAAAGCCTTAAAAGTAGCTTATGTCAATACAATGTCTCTTGCTCACTTAAAACATTTGTTAGTGCTTACAGGTCTGATGCTTACTGACATCGGCCGGCACTCCAAATTGGGGTCTTGAACATTGGACAGATGCAAGAAGCCAGATCTCAAGCCCCGAACAGAAGCTTTTACTAATTATGTGACATTCACATGAACATAAGCCCCCAAAAGTCAGAAGAGCTTGTTTACACAATTTTATCACCTATTTTACCTTACTTTTTAAAAAGGCCTTCCAGAGAAGTTTCTTTTTATTTCTCTACAGGGGGGAAAGGAAAGTGGGGGACATGAACGGGAAATTGAAGAACTGCAGCATCCAAAATTGACGCATACAGAAAGTTAAAAAAAGCAAAAACTCCAAAAGCTTTAGAGGAAGGCTGGCAATGCCATTAGCCTGGTGACAGCACACTTCTGTGAACACCTGGAGAGAGAGCTGGGCTTGTTCAGCGTGGTGAAAAGGGGGCTGGGGGTGACCCAAGACCTGCCTACTGTTATTTCAAGGGCAGTTAGGAAGATGAGAGCCAAACTCTTCTTGGTAGTGTCAGATAGAATAAGAAGAGGCAAAACTGTCCATTTTGTCTGTGGACTGTCAGACTGGACACTAGGGACAGAGTCTTTTGCTAGGAGAGCAGTACAACAATCCAGCGGGCTGTCTGTAGAGGGCACAGCATCCCTGCCCTCGAAGGGTTTCACCACTAGCCCAGGAGCTGGTGTTAGCAGCAATCCCACTGCTGGCAGAGCAGGAGGTTAGACTAGGCAACTTTCTAGAGATCCCTTCAAGTGAACACTTCCATGATTTTATGATCTGATATTTTACATAGTGAATATGAAAACAAGTAGCAACAAGTTTTTACTGTGACACTTCTGCTACGCATAGTAAGGAAGCACAGAGTGAAAATGCCAACAGCTAACTGAAGTTAAAAAAGGGGAGTAAAAGAAAGGGGGAAAGAAGGAAACGATATTTTTAGACATATTCAAAGAGCAAAAGGTTCAGAAGAGTCTGCAGAAAACTTGCAGGAAGAGAAAAGTCCTTGTCGTTGTCTTCCTTCATTTTTGCCTCTTTCTCTCTCTCTCTATGCAAACACACACAGAATATCAACCTATGCTATTACTGCGTGGCTTCTGCAAAATTAAGCAGGCCTGTCAGCCAGAAAGAACGCATTTTTAATCTAAAGATGGCTATATTGCAATAAAAGCACTATATACACTATCAAAACCAAGCTTCCACAGAGAAGCCAATCCACTTGAACAAAACTGATGTACTTTAGGTGGAACTTCAGAAATCGGTAAAATCCCACCCACGTTTTGATTCTGCTTTTCACACAGTGATACTCTGCTGGAAATACAAGTCTGTAATTAAAGGCACTACCCTTCTGAAGGTCAGAGAGATGAACTTCTAAGGGGGATGCAGTCTCCCTAAGGGCTTGAAGGAGACACATCAGCTAGTCTTCACAGGAAGGTCCTTGCAATATTCATTAGTGGTTTATAGGGACTGAGGCTGGAACAAGATGACAAGGACATGGGCTGCAATAAAATTAGCATAACAAATTGAAGTTGTGACAGCTATTGGCCATCAGGCCCGCATAACTCAGCATGGCAATGCACTGTCTACATTTGGGGGCACAAGAGCGGTGCCGTCAGGAACGCAGCACCCTTAGCCAATGTGGGAGTTATGAAAAGACAGCTTACCACCACCTGGGAACTTTTGTACAGGAAAACAGAACTGTTGACACAGCAAGCCAGACTTAATTCTTCATTTGTTTATAATGTTAAAAATGTTAGACAATGAAAACCTTCTTCTAGCTTCTCCATACCTCAAAACTAGGAAATCTTTCCCATACTGTGTACATTCATACTGTGTTCAGTGCCTTTAGCCAAGCACGAGTTACTGAGTTATTCACCTTTCCAGTTTCCATAGGTACTCCATAGCCATAAATGAACAGCTCCTGCTCCTTCTGCGTTCTCTCAAACTGACAGAGTCCTATTTAGACCAAATTTGGGGAGGAGGATACAAACGCTTAAATAAAACACTTCAAGTCGCTCCAGTTTAATCCACTTCAAGAACAGAGAGCACACACAAAGCACCCTGTACGCTGCACCTGTACCGGTTCAGAGCGCTGCATCTTTCTGCACCCTTCACTGCTGCACGCTGGCGTAGCTGAAGGTACATCCCAGGGTGCTAGCACACAGCAGCAAGCACTGACGAGAAGTGGTGCTTTGGAAGCTCTACAGCAAGCTCTAATCTGTTGTCAGCGTCAAACTCATGTCATCCAGTCTGTCCTCAAGGTCTATAATGCTTTCAGGGACCACCTTTGCTAGCTTCCTCTCCACTGCCAACAGAGCCAAAATAACCTGCATCCCTTAAGATGTTTACCATATAATGTTTAAATCTGGGTTTAAATGAGGTTCCCATTAAAGGGAATAGCTCACCCAGGAACTCTCTTTTTTCTCAACACAATCCTCTCTCAGGAACTGAGACAGGACATAATAATAAACATCTGTGACTAAACACCTGGATACTAAACTGCAGGACATTTCCTGGTCATTAAGTTCTTGTTTTGTTATGTATGTTTGAAGGGGAAAAAAAAAAACATCTAGCACATCAAAAAGGTGACATAGCCTTAAGTTGGTAACAGCTTCTCTATGGTTTTAGGCAGTAACAAAAGTTGTGTTCTCACACTTAACAGCTACACAAAGAAGGTGGGCAACTTTGTGCCTTTGGAGTTCAGATGGTTTTGGAGAACCATCGCAAAGAACAGGGGAATGACTGGCACAGGCATAGGCTAATCCTGTTTGTAAGAAGATCCCCAACTGAACTGAAAAAAGACACACCGCTGTCTTCACAGTAAAGATCTTACACCACCTTTATCAAACTGACTGCTGCTCTGGAGAGCAACAGGTGTCATAAGTCATCATCATAGAATCGTGAAGGTTGGAAAAGACCTCAAGGATCCTCAAGTCCAACCGTCAACCCAACCCCACCCAACCCACTAACCCATGTCCCCAAGCACCACATCTACACGTTTCTTGAACCCCTCCAGGGATGGTGACTCCACCACTGCCCTGGGCAAAGTAATGCCAAACTCAGTGTTGGCAACCAAAGCTGGAATTTCCAGATCCACTTTGGAAGCAAACTCTCTAAGAGTACGTGAGAAATGATATTAAAACAAAATCCCATCAATCTGCGAGAGACTGGCTTGGTTTGCTTTTATGCCCATCAAAAATCATTACAATCATGGAAGGTAAACAAATGGGGAGGAAAAAAGTAAGACTCATTAGTAATGTGGAAAGCCAGAAGTGAAGAAAAGTGCATCAGTCCATCACATATAAAGGGTCTTGGAGGCTTTTGTCCGTTCTTGCTACTATGCTTACAGTAGCAGTCGATTCCCTTGCACTGCTGGACCACTAGTATTCTAGTCTTCTGAGCAGTTACACATTGACTCTCTGTACAAATGTGCTCCAAAAGTGCATTCCAGTAGATGAAGTTGTATAAAGATGCATTCTACAGAGCTGCACAGATTTATGGAATATTTTAGACTTAAAAGTTCAATTACCACCATCGGCTAAAAAAAAAGAAAAAACAAACAAAACCAAACCACATTTTTGTTGCTTCAAGACGCATTGTTTCAGAGGAACTTAACCAAGCTGCTAATGGGATCAAAGGAAGTCCTTACCCTTAATCTGTGCCACGCCTTCATGAATAAGAGAATATGCCGATTCCCTTTTGTTACCAAGACACCAAAGTTGCTGTGGTAACCACACTTAGATGGAACAGCTCCACTCACCTGCACAATGATGCCCTTGCTCTTGTATTCTGCATGGAGGCCTCGGGAGAAGTAATCCACAAAAGCCTAGAGAGACAAGAAAGGAAACAGGCAGCATGCTACACATTAACATGGAAAGTATAGTTTGCAGGTTTTTGTAAGCACATTTGAATTGCTATTTAGAGTTCCTGTTTTCAAAGTGAAAAACTAAGTTTTCAAAGAAACTTTGCATATTAGAGCAATGCCATCTGAATAGAAACCCTACGTGAACAGAGTATTTTTACAGAAGTGAGGCTCAATCTAAAGAAGTAAAACCGTTTTTAATTCAGAAGGAAAAGGAACTAGATTTGTTGCATCAAGCCTAGTTAAAAAAGGAAAATAAGACTTTGCATGCTCACATTGATCGCTACTGATGTCATCTCCTTAAACTTTTTTTTTTTAAAGAGTGATTTAAGTAGGTTTCTCTTGTGCATGGTTTTTAAAACACAGTGTTTAAATATTTTGTCTTCTACCTTTGCACTTTTAAGAAATGCCACCCTATGGTGATACTTCTTCTGAGTCCCAAAGTCCACTTCAGACATTCTCTTCCAAACTTCTGGAAGTTTTAGAAATTACCTGCCTTCAAGATGCCCTTACATCTGATACAACCGCCTCCATAACCATGCGGAGAAAGTCTTGTCCTAATAACCCAAGGCTACTCAGCAGTTCCAACCAGCATAGATTCCCCCTCCCCAAGTTCTTCTAAACCACCTTTCCACTTTCCCTGCCTGCAGTCCAGTGAGAAAAATTGTAGGTTCTGCTACGGTTTCTTGTTGTAGTGACACAATACAGCCAAGTAGGATGAATGGAGTACCTTCAACTGAAGGAACTCAACCATCTTATCCATGCTTGAAGCTAAAATAAATACTAAATAAATCCATTCAAGTATCTAAGAAGCAGGTACTTCAGACCAGTTTGAAAACAAACAGCACATCTCTAGCATTGCACCTGCTTTATGGTCTTCCTTTGGTCACCATGTTGGCAGTGGTTTAACACAAGTCCTCATTGAAACCAGCACTAAAAAGCTGGCAGCACCCAGGGTTTTTCCTATCAAGGTCATCCCACTGAACTCAGGCTCTGCAAGAAACAACGGAAACACTCCCATGCTACTGGGCTATTCCTACAGCCACTCTGCTGAGCATGCACAGGATCTTGAAGAAAACTAGATTTTCGCTGTGTAGCGGAGAGGTCCTAGTGTTCTTCCTCTTCAAGTCGCATGTACAAGCTAGGAGGTGGCTTATTAAACCAAAAAAGCTCATCTTCTGTCCAACCGTTCTTTCCTTCTCCCTTTCCCCCAGGTATAAGTCCTTAATGAAATTCAGTCCGCAATGCGGACGAGACTCTGAAAGCCTGGTCCAGCAGCAATGATTCAGGGGGGCTAGCCATCCCATTGCAAAGATAAGGCACTGGCATAGACACGCAAGTAGTTCGGTGCAGCCCCTGAACATGTTTGACAGATGTATGTGTGATAACTGCACACAGTATATCAGTAATTATTAAAAAAATAAATAAAAATACCCCCCCTATATTGTGTTAATTTGATAATTCAAATTTCCGACTATTTCTACATTAAGTGTCCTGAAATCAGTTACTGCTCCAAATATGGAGAGACGGTCTAAAAAGCCTGTCATCTCTACTGGTTGTAAAGAGCTTACAATAACGAGAATGTTTATTTTACATGAGAAGAAAAAGCAACCTCCCATATCCAAATAAACTTTGGAGATTTTCTTCTTGAAGAATTTATTTCAAGACAAGTTGGGCTTTCTACCTCCAGATGCTCAAGCCCCCCAACCACCTTTAACTTAAAACAATCTTAAGAACGCTCTCTAAAGATCCCCTGAAAAAGCAGATAAGCACTGCATTCAAGAAAATTTATCCTCCTTGGATACCCAGTGACAAATCCAAATAGTGAAGACATGGGGGGGAATAATAATCATTTCACTTCTCCTTAGTATGAACATAGGTAGATAGGTAAACCCATCAAAAAAATGGGACTATGATTCCTTTAAAAGTGTCTCATTTCATTGGAAAATACGCGATTCTCCACAGGAAGGTTAAAGAACTGCCTCCTGTTCCTGATAATTAGCCAAAGCCATTGACTTAGACCTGAAGGATACGATGCTTTAAAGCCCCTCTATATCAATGAGAAAAAAAAAAAAAAAACCCTAGAAATTGCATGGCCAGTCTTTCTATAGCTACATTAGGGGAGTCACTTTCATGCTCACTAATCTTGCTGTGGGAGATGCGCAGTGCCTAGAATAGGCAGATTACTTCAACTGTAATTGAGTTTCTTGGGGGGAAGGGAGGAAATATTTAAGATTCTCATTGGAAAAAGACCAACCAAAGCAGCGTAAGGCATCGCTAAAATCAGCAGCTGAGTTCATTCCATAAAGCTGAAGGCACTGCCACAACAAAAGTGACCTTTTGTATTAAAACAAAGAACCGTGCTCTCAGGAAATAGCTATTTCAAGAGCAAATTTTATCAGCTAAAACTAATTCAGGCTTTCATGATTTCTAAACTTAAATATCCCCTCCTTTGGTATGAATAAAACCATGTGCATCAGTTGCTTTCTGGAAATATGAAGACATTACTGGGAATCTAGAGGAAGCGCGAGTCTGTTCTGACACGAATGACACTACTGAAGGTTTCTTCATCCTGTCAAGGTTCTGCTTAGCCTCTGAAATCCTGTAAGTATTTAAGGTAATTACCAGGTTCGCCTGAAAAAGCTGTAGTGCCACACTGCTTTAATAGCAGCGTAAATGCCTCTTGAGTTTAGTTTTATCACATATACTTCAGTTCCCTACTGTGTGCCCATATTCTGTCTTTATGGCATTAACTAGAGTTTTTTTAGAAGGTCCTATAAGTATCTTTGGAAAAAAAACAAGACCAGCTGCAGAAAGACAAAACTGTCCCAGTGACACAAAGAGAAACCAGAGCAGATAAATTTAACTCCTCTAGACCTACATTTCATGTAACTTATGAACTGGTAAAATAAAACAGTCTGTTGTGGAAGAAGACTGGAAATGTCAGTAAAAGGAGTGTTTGGGTAAGTGGGGAGACAGAAACAAGAAGTAACAAAAGAGAAACATAAGACACTACTGGGTACTTGGGAATAAAATCCGAGCTAGGAAAAGACTAGCAAAGGCCATTAAGGGCAGCAGTAAGTGATCCTACACTAGTTTCAAGGGGAATTTCAGAGAAATGGGGGGCTGTTGATGGACCATGGAGACAACCTAGAGATAAAGGACAAAAAAAGGCTGAGGTATTCAACACTTCTCTTGCCTTTGCACAGCCAAAGCTCACGTGCCTCTATACACACCAGTTCTGTTTAATGAAAGGGACAGAGGCAGGAACAATTTAAGGACGACTCAGAGAAGCTGGATGTATTCACGTCCATGGAGCCACCACGGATTCACTCAGTGCAGCAAGAACTCGTCTGTACATATACAGGTCTGCTGCCTGGGATACCTGGAACACTATGCAAACTGAAAGAGGTCTTTGACAGCTGGAAGAAGGTTAACATATCCCTCCTTGAAAAGGCAAGAATGATCCCGTCAGCTTTAATGCAGTTTGTGGAAAGAGCACGGAGGCCTCCCCTTGGAATTCATTTCTAAGCACGTAAAGGACAAGATATATTGCTCTCTACAGTGGAGTGGACTAGCTTTGCAGATGAGGGAAACAGATTTTTAATATATATAAACTCCATGCATGTGCGTATAAATATATCTATGATTTTTCACTTCAGTAGAGCTTTTGACACCATCTTCTGCAGCATTCTCATTTGGAAGTCGAGCAGACCTGTGCTGGGAGGACAAACTGCTGGCCAGACTGACAACTGGGTGGACCACCAAGCTCCAAAGGCCATGATTAATAGCAGGACGTCTGACTGATAACAAGCAGAGAACCCTTCTGTCCTGGGTTCAGCTGGGACAGAGTTCACTTTCTTCCCAGGAGCTAGTGAGAGGCTGTGTTTGGATCTGTGCTGAGAAGGCAGCTGATAACATACTGATGGTTAGAGTTGTTGCCAGGACAGCCAAGGACATGTCCAACTTCCCGTGCTTTGCAGCATGCAGGTGCACGAGAAGCTGGGAGGGAGCACAGCCAGAGCACAGGCCACAATTACTGGCTTAAGATTTGACCTCACATTTAGGGTTGAGACCCAAATTGGCCAATGGTCTATTCCATACCATGCACAGCATGCCCAGTATAGAGATGAGGATCTGTCCAGAAGTTCTCTCTCTCAGTCAGCACTCACTCTTCTCTCTCTGACTCTGGGGCTCTTCTCTCTTTTCTGGGATTGTAGTTTTGCGACCCTTCCTGCTCCAGGAACAGGCTGAGCTTTGGTCATTGGGTGGTGAGCAGTTATCACTGTGTATCACTCATGTATATTTGCATGTCATTACTATTATCATCATTACTATTTTCATTTTTAGTGTATTTTAGTTATTAAATTGTTCTTATCCCAATCCACGAGGGTCTTTTCCTTTTACCCCTTTAATTCTCTCCCCCATCCCCAGGGGTGAGCAAGCGGCTGCGTAGTGTTTGCCACTAGCTGGGTTTAAACCACAACACTTGCAGATCGATATCGAGGCCCAGATTCTTCAGCACTTTGCATCAACGACCCAGACAATGAGCCAGAGCACACCCTCATCAGATTTGCAGATGATGCCATTAGGTGGAGTGGCCGACACGACAGAGCTTCAGTCCAGAGAGACCCTGATAAACTTTTTTGTTAAACATCATGAGATTTCTCAACTGGCCCAGAGTGAAGGGCAAAGTTCTGCATACAGACTGGGATTACACCGTGCCTTAATTTTGGCTGAGTAGTAGCCCTGCTGCAAAGAACCTGAAATTTAATCCACTCACTGCAAGAACATCACACGACATCCTGGGCTACCATAGCAGGATGTACGGTCAGCAGATGAAGGGAAGTTGACTAGCTGGTAATGGGGAGGTCCTAGAGCCCTATCCTTTCTCTTATCTGAAATGCTAAACTTAAGGCAACTAATTAAAAAGGAAGATAAATGTTGGCTTCCAGCAAGCACCAGAAGAGTTCTACTTAAATATATATTGAAGATACACATCTTCCGTGAGATTAAGGAAAAAAGTTTCGCAGTCAGGATAAGAAAGTGTGTTAAACTTAGGCAACATCCTTTCTCAACATCACACTACCAGGCTTGCTTGGTACACTAGCATCCTTTCCCATGTAAAAGGAGCATGCATGATGAAATATATAGAATAATCATTTCTCTGCCAGGAAACCCTTGCACTCGTTTTTCTTTCAACCTTCCAGCTTCTACTACCGGAAAATTTTAAGTTAGAAAACTCAATACTTTTAGTTCAGGAAAGCACCACTAGATGGACACCAAAACATTTATTCCTGCAGCGTTGGCTCATGTTTGACATTTGATTTCAGTGTGGAAAGGAACACTTACCTTGGTTGCAGAGTAAAGAGTCAGCAGTGGAGTTGGATACATCCCAGCAGCTGAGGAGATATTCAGGATCACCCCTTTTGATCTGAAAGGCAGTGAAGACATATTATCATGAAATACAGGAAACATCTTTCACATTTCAGAAAATTACCGCAAGCCTACAGAAAACCTTCAGGATGCAGTTGAGATTAAAATCTGTTTAAAAACCCAACCAAATCCTAAATTGTGATTTACTAATATGACCATATAAGCATTCAAGTAGCTGGTATAAATCAGGAACAACTCCAAGGTTAATACAGCAAGAGAATCAAGCTCCATACATACATATACACACACACACACACGGGGCTAAACGATGCAAAACCAATTGAGTGAAGCTGGCACAAGGCCAAAAGGCAACTTTTAAATCTCCAGCTAAGGTGGCAGAAATGGCAACGCAAGTTTGTCGTATAGTTTACACGCTGATAATCCCTGTCACCTTCAAAATGTTACTTCATGATGGACCTTCAAGATAGGAAGTATCTGAATCTACTGCTTACATACAGGAGTGTTGTAATATGGGATGGAAGGTACTCAGGGGATGAATACAGAAAATAAGAGTTGTTTCACAGCTGTGTTGCAGGAACTCTGAAGGTATTCCACACTAATATCTCAGTAAGGGCACGAGTCTGAAATGAGCTCCCAGCTGCTCTGCCAAGCACTTGCAAAGCATGTGCAGGTTGGACGGAAAGGAAGACTCCTGGATTTCCCAACCCACTGGCTGATTTTGAGCATGTCTACTTCTGAGACTAGTTTTACGTACAAAACCAGACGTTATTTAGTGCTAGGTAGAAAGAAGAACTAGTTTTCAAAGCTTCAGGCAAACCAGTGCCAGTATGCTATTAGAAGGTGCTACCAGACAGCCCGACACCGTGAAAGATGCCTCTCTGCTGCTCCTTACCCTGGAGCAAATCCAAGCCCGTTCCCCTGAACATCCTCAGCACGCTGTGTTTAGTGCAGAGTGAGAACGCCCACGCAGGTAGGCATCACGCAGCTCCACTCCTGCAGATTCACAGGAGTTTCATATTTGTTCATCTAGGTATACCCTCTGCTGCCACAACGATTTCAGTGACCGTCTTGAAAACAAACAGCTGAAGTGACCATATTAAAATGATAAAACTCTCTATAAATGGTGACGATAGATTCAAACCAAGGTGGCTTCTGCCATGACATGAGTGAGAATTAAATCTGTGACTGATTCACTTATGGAAATAAGATGGCTAACGTGACAGAAGAGAATCATTTCAGACATTCAGGGTTTCAAACTGTATTTTCTGGAGTTATCTGCAAGGCTTGGTTGGTGAAATAAAGTAGTAACATGGATCAAAATATGTCTTATGCAGAAAATAAGACCACAAATTAATTGTGTATGTTCATGGCAGCAAAAGGTTAACAGTGGATGCCAGAAGCTTTTCATATGAAAACAGGCGGTGCTTGTGATATTTATTCATGAGCCCAAATGGGGATTTAGAAGGGAAATGAGTATTCCTGCAGTTTTTAAGAGATTACCAGATTGGAGAATACTATAAGGAAGTTTTTAAAGAGCTCAGACTGCTATGTGAACAGACCATGGAATGGCAGGTGAAAAATCAGTACTAACAAAACCAACAACGCCTACTAAAGAAAAAAAAAGTGAATTAATCACAAACCTTGCAGGACTCTAACATGAACTATCCGCTCACTGGAAAACCTGAACAAAGTCCACGAGGAGTTCTCTTTCGTGCAGCAGTCACCAAAACCAACCAAAGAACAGGATGGTGGGAATGGCAGAGACAGATCCACCACCGCTGAAACCTTGTATTACAGTCTACGGAGCGCTTTTAGCCCTCCAAATATAGGGCAGAAATATTAAGAACCTGATGATTTAAGAAAGGGGTAAAGAAGAAAAAAAAAAAAGCCCTGATCCATGGATGAGGAGAAAAGATTGGTTCAATTTAGCTATTTAAGAGACTATTAAGAGCAGCCGTGACAAGAGCGTACAGACTAATGAACGACAAAAGATCAAGATCTTGATTTATCCTCTCAGAATACAAAAGAAAGATGACATTTATCTAAATGAAAGACTGAAATTTAGATCCGATAAAAGGAAGTGCTCTTCGCGGATTCAGACTAAGGGAGTACTTGCCACGAAATCTAATTGAGGACAAAAGCTTAACAGGATTCAAAAAAGGGTAAGCATTTCTGTGGATAAACATCAGCCTCACGCTCATAAAGCAAACCAAAGCTGTAGAAGAGAGGCTGGCATTCAGGCGGTAAAGCACAGGTCTCCAGCGTCTGGCTAGCCTGCAACTTCCCAGCAGCGGTGACCATCATCTAAGTTCAATGAATTAATGGTCTGACCCAGTGAAAAGAAAAAAAGAAACCCAAACCCTTGGAAACACAACAAATTAATAGCAGCCCCTTGCAGAAGCTCCATGTATTGCTCTCTTTGAAACAGTCAATGCCACTGTGGGTTTTGTGGTTTGTATTTTTTTCATTATACAGAAAACAGTCCTAGACTTAAAAGCTCATAACTTAAAACCTCCAGATAAAAGGAAACTGAGAAGCGTGTGTGTAGGGGGAACACTTCCAATTACTCCGATTATAATTTTGCTTCTTAGAGGAATTGCAGACGAAACGTTTGTTGGGAGGGATCTAAAGAACTAGGCGAGCATCGGTGCGGCAAAAAAGGAATTTTGGCTCCGACCGACTCAACTGTACAGTTAATGAAAAAAAAAAAGAAAAAAAGTTGGTGAAGATGAAGAGAGCCAGGCCCACACCCTCACACCTCCCCATCATTCTACCTTAAGTGGTCCAGCGCCAGGGAGGCTATATTTAGCCATCTCCCTGTTGCTGTGGCAACCAGTGCCTGCTCCAGCTGCACATCAAGTGGAAAGAGCAAGCTTCCTCTGTAACGTAATTATGCACTTGCTACTTCCCTGGCAATAAATACCATAGTTTGATATTTGTCTAGAAACAGTCAACTTGTTTTTGTTGTTGTTGAGTTTGGTTTTGGGTTTTTTTTTTTTTTGTTGTTGTTCCCAAAAACATCAAGTCTCAATTTGCAGTTCTGTGAGTCTCCCACCTTAGACAGCAGCCTGAAAATTTCCAGAGGAACTGCTCATCTCACTGTAATAGGAAGCTGCAGATTATAAACTGTCACGTTAAGTGTTCAGAGCACAGGAGAGGAACCACAGCAGAGAATCTAAACACCATTACCAGCATTCAGGTGATGCTGCCACGTTTATTATCAATAAAAAGTAACAGACACACCAAGATGCAGTTGTGTTTTCTCCTTACAGATCTGGATGCAAATCACGTCAAGTCTGTTCTATTTCTGTATTTATCTTGTAGTATATTGCCATAAACCCAGCCTTCAAATACGTCAGGGTGTGCACTATAGCTAACTGCGAGATGTCACATCTATCTCCTCAACGCGCTATCCTCCTTGAACAAGTGAGGAATAACGATGGGATCCCCACGCTAGTTTTATTCTTAGCCCCTCGAGCCCTTTTTTCCTAACCCTCGGTCCCATGTGAAGAATTTCTGGTGGCCCAAAGAGCAGCTGAGTATAGTTCCCATTTATTTATGCTCTTGGACTGGCTGGACATCGACATCCTCCTGGGGTTACGGACTCTTATTGGTGTTAATGGCCTGGGAGCAATGACTACGCAGGAGTTGGCAGATGCAGCCATCGCTTCGGTGTGCTGCAAACCCAACCGACTTCACAAAACCAAACAGAAAATGGAAGCTAAAAAAAAAAAAAAAAACCAAAACCCAAACCAAAAATCTTTTTCCCTGGGACAGAAACCAAGGCTTTCATTCAGACGGAGCAGTCATTCAGAGCAGCTGCTCACACACATGGAAGTTCAAGACATGTTGGTTTGGGTTTTTTTAACCACTATTAACCTCTTCTTTCCAAGCTGCTTCTTGAACATCTATCCTTGAGATTCTTGAGGTCATCATGTAGTTAGGAAACGTGAGAAAAAACATGACATGGCACACTCATGGGCACTCCGAACCAGAAGTGAGCTGGATCCTGGTTTGCTGCCTTTCATTCAAATCATCTTAGACAGATTAATGCGGAACAAAAAAAACCACACACAGGATATTCTATAAGCAGAGTATACATCATTCTATCCTATGAAGTTGAAGAGATCAACTCTGCCAAACAGATAACTATAAGACTTCTTCCAGAAGTGAGCTGGATCCTGGTTTGCTGCCTTTCATTCAAATCATCTTAGACAGATTAATGCGGAACAAAAAAAACCACACACAGGATATTCTATAAGCAGAGTATACAACATTCTATCCTATGAAGTCGAAGAGATCATTCTGCCAAACAGATAACTATGAGACTTCTTCAGACAAAGAAGAAATTGAGGCAAGAAATTGTTAGAGCTTCAAAAGTCCAAAAATTGATAACAAAATAACATTAAACCCATAGAAAGCAAAATGGCTTTGGCCACATTGGCATCTTCAGAGGGTGGTGGTTTCACAAAAGGCAGATCCCTTTATCTATCAGGAGTATGTGGGCAAGGAGTAACTTTTGACTTACAAACCCTGAGTAGCTACCACCACTGTACTACAATCCTCATCCTCTACTCCAGCTTTATTGGGAAATACTACAGCCCTGCCCCAGAGCTCTGTCTTGGGTCTTCTTTTCAAATTCAGCTTTCTTTAAATGAAATAAACTCCTCCTTATCTCCTGATTAACTAAAAATCTAAGCTCGCCATCACCCTGATGTGCCAGACGCCGACTCCATACTGGCCACCATCTCTGACAGATTGTACCCACGACGAAACTTTGTTTTAGATGCAAAACATTTGCTCTGCATCTGTGCAACACTTGAATAATTTAATCCTGATCTGCAACAAAGACTCCCCGATAGTGTGATGATACAAGAAATACCAAATTTTTTTCTTAATCTTCATCAGGTTTGGAGCTTTACCCCAAAGAGATGCTCCTCCTACAGCATTCGTCTGGAGGCAACTCTACGGTGACTGTCATGCATGGTTCTCCCCAGCTTTCCCCGGTACTGCCAGAGCTGGCAATTTCCCCAGAAGCTCAGAGCTGGCCCAGGGCTTAGCACCACAACACAGGCAGCAGACAGGCTGGGACAGTCCACCCCAGCTAGAGAAGAGCCTGGAGGGACGACGCGGGGACCGGGCACCTTTTCGTTTCACCTGGGAGCTAGCTGGGAGTCGGTGCACATCTGCCACGGCGACAGCGGTGCGCATTAGCTAGTATTTTAAAGAGCTGCTCTCCTATTCTGCTCTTCCAAATGATCACAGACTTGCCTCAATATACCTCCTACTGTATAATGAGAACATATTCTTTGCATCCATTTTCCTTACAATGACTTAGAGAAATAGCCTTAAGAAGGTTATTCCCAGGAACTGTAACCACCCCCTCAGAATAGCAGGTTGTTGAGTTAGTGCCGATGAGTCAGACGGGCTTTTTAATTCTGTTCTAAAAGGAATCACCACAACAGTGGAGAAGGGAGAGGAAAAATAAAAAGGGAATCGAGTGGAAAAGGCTTCCACCGTCGGATGATTCATGCACCATCAGCGTGACTCACCCAGCATTACTCTGCCATTAAAACATGGAGACTGGGCTGATTAGTCACAGTAATGAATTTTTCAAGAAAGGATTCTCCCCTATAAATAATGATGACTTTGTCTGGATAGTGTTAGTGTGACTCACCTTTCCAGCATGCCGGGCAGCACCAATCGTGTCATCTGCAAAAAAAGAAAACATTCGTGATGGCTGAGAAGGCAGACACCAGACAGGCAGGGACCGAGGGAAGCCTCCCGTCCTCCCCGAAGCGGCTGCCGCCCCCTCCGCCCCGACCACGGCTCAGGGAAGCAGAGACCATACTTTGCGTGGGTGGTTTATTTTTATTCTACCTGGAGAACTTGGCTCTGTCAAGTAGTGTGTGCGCTGAATCTGGTGAACCCATCCAGCTAGTAGCATAAGTACAATAAGGTAAATAAAAATAATAATCACAAAAAAAAAAAAAAAGCTCTTCACCCCTCTGCAGCATCCGTGGCTTCCGAAGAACATTAAACCACCAGAGCACTACAGTACGCCTATGATCTTTCTCTCCCCACAAAAAGCATCCGTCTTTCTTAAGACTAACTACATTTCCCACCTATGCCAAGACTCCAGACAATCTCCCGTGCATTTTAGCTAGTCTTACTGAACTGCTGATTTTAAGTTAAAAATAAATCGTGGAGCAGCAAGAGCACTGACCAGACAGAGCGAAGTTAAGTTTCCTACCTTATGTTACCTGCAGAAAACACTTAAGACCCCCAAAACATTTTTTTTTTTGTGCTGATGACACAGATGTTTTCACACTGAAGAACCTACACCCCACAAGGAAAGTCGTGGAACAAAGCTCCCCACGGCTCTGGAAGCGCCTGCCTTCGTTCTGGCTCTGAGCAATCTATTTACAGCTTGGCTGAAGGGTTCTGCAGAGCCGTGATCCTAAAACAAGCTCCCCCACTGCAGACAGAGCAGCTGTCACAAAGCAGACAAATCCAGTACTGATCCAAACCTTGACAAATTTTTAATTAGTGTGAAACAGTTAATTTTCCTACTACTAATTGCTACCATCCTAAAATACGATTTAAATCCAAGATTTCTGCCTTTAAGAAGTACTGTCATCAAAGTTCACCTCCTGCCAAATACTACCAAACTCTGTAAATAAATGTCACATCACCAACACCACAGATCATACAAGAAATATAAATCGTTACCACTTTTCACATCTTTAAAAGGTGTTCTGACAAAGTTCTGGAGAACACAGTGAGGAGGGGGTAACAAAATCCTAACGGTACTCCCACCGATACCAAACTACCTCGACAGCTTGAAACGTAAGCATTTGAGTAGTACGGGAGGAAAGTCAGACAAAAAAAGATAGCAGCATATAGAGGAGCACAAAACACCTATAAGCATTTTTATTATAAAGAAACAAATCAGTAAACAGTCAGTAAACATCACAGAGCTAAACAGAGCTGACGCAACTTCAGAAGAATTTCCAACATGATATCTAAGTATCCACGAGCTTTTTAATACCCTCATGCCTTCCCTCAGCAAATCCACAAGTGGTCTGAAAAGCCAGTACGGGTTCTCCCATGTAATGCAGAGGGGAGCCCACGTTAGCAACTTGCCACACAAACGCACCCATGGTCTAAATCCAAACTGCAGCCTCCCAAGGAGCTCTAACAGCTTGTCATGAACCTGCTGGTTACTATCGATATCCAGACAGAAAAACATGCTACAATAATTGCTTGACTTCTACAAATTAAAAACCTCTGAAGCCATTGAGAGCTGAGGTAGAACAACAGGTACACAAGCCAGGCAGAAATCAAGAAGTCTCTTGCCAGCAGCTGTGTTAAATAGTCTGTTTCTAAAGTTCAGCTGGACAGGCAATCAATTCCCCCTCCCCCGAACATACACAAACAGAACACTGGTGGCAAAACTGGATTTCATATTCTACATCACTTCCATTTGTTGCCATTAAAATTAATATTTTGAGGGAATTTCAAAAATCTGGGAAGTAGGGGAAAAGTGGTTTTCCCATCTGTGTTTTTACATCTTGTGATGTGTGAAAAGAGATATATGAATACTTGGTATCTTTATGTACAGAACAAATACTGGTTGTTTTTTTTTTTTTTAAGAATAAAACAACAGAAGGCAGCTCTCTGAGTCAGCCTCACCTCACCCAGCCAAGTCCACACTCAGACTGTTCCAGCAGCACAAGAGCACTATCGGAAAAGTGCTGGCAGGGCATTCTGTGGTCAGATTCAGGTCTGGCAAATTTATACTTTGTACACACAGGTAGAATATTCCCAGTATTAATTCAAATAAAACAATCTATAGCAGAAATGTAGCTTGGCTGCTAAGAAAAGTGTCCATATGTTCTTGTATGATCTTTACCCGAAATAGCCAAATTGGTTAACACTCTTATCTTCAACAGCTATAATCTCAGACATGCCATTGCAAAATAAGCAGTTCAACAACAAACATCTGGAATTGAATAAACATCTCCCAGATAAATAATCCAAATTTTAGCTAGGTCTTATTTAGGGATAGCCAGTTCTGTAATGGGCTGCTGTTGTGGTTTGACCCAGCTAGCAGCAGCTAACACCACACAGCCGCTCACTCACCCTCTCCTCTTCCAGGGATGGGGGAGAGAATTACAGGGTAAAGGGAAAAGAGACTCGTGGGTTGAGATAAGAATTATTTAACACCTAAACTAAAATAAAATTGAAAAGAGTAATGATAATAATCAGAGCAATAATATCGAAATGAGTAATTGAAAAGAGTAATGATAATAATCAGAGTAATAATATCGAAATGAGTGATACACAGTGACACTGCTCACCACCCGATGACCAAGGCTCAGTCTGTTCCCAGATAATGATCCCGCAGCAGGGAGAGTCCCAAAACCACAATCCCAGAAATGACAGAAGAGTCCGAGAGAATAAGAGACAAGAAAGCATGCGCTGAGAGTGAGAGCGAACTTCTGGACAGACTTTCATCTCTATCCTGGCCATGCTGTGCATGGGATGGAATAGACCACTGGCCAATCTGGGCCTCAATCCTAAACCTGAGGCCGAATCCTAAACCAGTAGCTGGGGCTGTGCTCCCTCCCAGCTCCTCCTGCCCCTGCAGACACGGGCACAGCAGAGAAGCTGGAAAGTCCTTGAGTGTCCTGGCAGCAGCTCTGCCCATCAGTGTGTGATCAGCTTCTCCTCAGCACAAACCCAAACACAGCCTCTCACTAGCTGCTGGGAAGAAAGTCAACTCTGTCCCAGCTGAACCCAGGACGGGTGTATTTCACAAATGCCAAATCACAGCAAGTTTGAGTGCACAGGAATTAGCATGTAGGATGCCAGAGAATGCTATGGCAACATAATAAAGGAAAAAGAAAGTGGCAGAAAACTTAAAAGAGAGGTTGGGAACTCCCCTAAGAAGAGTGCTTTCAGTGGGTGGTTACTGAACTCCCTGGAGCTTCCTTCACATCACCATCTTCTGAACAAATACTACTTGCCATAGAAATACCAGTGCTGCAGCTGAAAACTTAAATGTTGCCAAGACTGTGAAGGTTCAGGGCATTGCAGACGAGTAGCCAGTCACCAGGCTGTGTGAGAACTGCCAGCGTATCCAAAGAAAACTGGTTTTCTTCTTTCTCAAAGTTTCATTAGAGCAGAGTGAGAACGCGCATGCGTGTGCGTGCTCAGGACAGTCTCCCTGATATCAGAAGTTGGTAATCTTTTACGTTTTACAGAGTCTGGCAGAAAGTTACGTTTAGCACGCAGCCATGAAGCAGCAGTTGTTGAGGCTTTTTTGCTTGTTTGTTTTTCACTGATTTCCACATATACACCTAATGCTGCCATAGGGTTTGGATATAGTTCCTTTGGTTTGAAGGGCTGCATAATTTTTAAGTCAACTTCTTTCACACCTAACCCTCCGGCTCCCAAGTTTCAGGATGCTCAAAGCAAGTGGCTAACTTAAGGTAGAAATTCATTACAGACCATTTCATTCATCTTTTCCAGGCAGCTATCATTTCTTGATGTCCATTGATCTGCAACTACATTTGTTACACACCTGGCAAGCACTGATTGCATTGCCCACTCTTCCTCACCACACCTGTCTTCTACCTTCTCATTTTCAGTCGAAAGGAGCAGAGATTCCTACTTGCAGATACAAAAATGTACAGCCATATGGCTAGATTTATGTTCTAAATCAGGTGCTACACTTCAAAGCTCCTATGAGAGGACTAACAAACAGAAGTTATAACCATGTATTTCCACTGTTTTTTTTCCTTCAGAAAAAAATCTCCCATCCTCAGTGATCACTGAGTTGTAGTCTTTCCCACTCTGATCCGAGCAATAGCTCAGGAGTAGAGCTTAGGGCAAGAACAATAATTTGCAAAGTTTTGAATATCTTTCATATCCACTCAGACTGCTAAAATACAGTAGGAAAAGCTGAGATCAATATTCAAAGTCATCCTTCATGAATTATGGGCCACATAATTGTTATCCACAGCCAGAAACCTAATACCACAGATGCATATTCAGAAAGAAATCATTCTATGGTAAAAGGTTATGACGGCAAGTCCCTCTTTCCCCTACCAAGGGGTATAATGATCTGTAATTAAGCCTATGCAAGTACAACAAAGGATGAAGCTGAAGGACTTGGACAATATTCCTACTGTGTTACGCAGCTAAGAAGTTCCTTCAGATCCTATAGTTCCTTCAGATCTCATCCATCAATTTGGGGTGAAATTATAACAACTCAAAGCAACAGAACTTTTTAAAGATCAGTGATTCCCTGTGGTGCACCCACACACGTAGAAACTGTCATCGCTACCGTAAGAGAACTCCTAGTACCTGGGCAGAGGATTCCCATAAGTTCACAAATGCACAAGCTGTTTAACAAACAGCTGACACCGTGCGTACGCAGCTCTCATCTGCAGACCTGCCGCTGAAAGAACTCAGGAATTGTCCTTGTGCACGGGTAGTCAAATGGATCACAAAACCTATTCTCAGCATCTGCTATTAAGTTTTTAGAACGTATCTCTTTCAAAAAAAAAAAAAAAAAAACTTCTTAATGCAGCTTATACCCCAAGCTGAACAAGAATTATTTATATTGTCAAAAAAAGATATTGGCAAGGTCAGGAACCAGAAAAGGACATGGGACATACACAAAGGGAACTACAAACTCAACA